TACCCACGGCAATTCGAGCTTTGAATTTGTTAATATCCCAAGTTGATCAATCAAAATTTGTCATCACTCGATTGACCTAATACTGTTTGGATCCCGAGAAAATTGCTTAGAATTTTCATTCGCTTTCCGATGCAAGAAATATTCATTGTTAGACTACATAAAGAATTGATTGAAAGTCAAAACTCAAAAGAACAAAAAGAGATGAAAATTGGAAGTTTCTGTACGCATTTCGATTGGAGGCTACAGATCACAATTCTAATTACACATCCGCGCTCGGAAAATTTCGACAAAATTCGGCATCGATCAAGGGAGGAAGAAGAAAAAAAAAGATCGAAAATCATCAATCGATATACAAATTCAATCGATCTATCGAGGAAAAAGGAAAAGAAAAAGGAGAGTCATAATTTGAAACACCAGACGAGTTTCAAGAACTCGAAGCAATCAAATGTTTGTAGCCTTCTCTTGCTTTTCTTTCTCAGAGCTTTCATGGCGGACTCTCTTTCCAGAAATCGATCTGTTTCTTCAGTGAAAACACCGTCCCATACGAATTCTTTCATATCATCGCTACCGAAGAAAATGTCTCCGACGTCGTACTTCGATTTTTTGTTGGAAGCGCTGCAAGACTCGCCGCCGTGGAGGCCGCCGTCGCTGCTGCCGCCGCCGCCACCGAATTCGCAGGGGAGGATCCCTCTGGCCATTCACGGAACTGCGCTTCAATAAAGAAATCAGAGTCTCTGAGGGTTGTTTGCCAAATGGCAGTATTTATATGGATGTCAACTTTATTTTATTATTATTATTTTTTTTTTTTTTGAAGTATACGGATATAAATATTATTTTTATTTTGTTTGAAAAAAAATATATTATATTAAGATAAGGATCGGGGTTAGCAGAACTTTTGGTTTGAATGTTAATAAATTAAATTTAAACCATCATGATTGGTGGAGCGTTCCTAAATTTACTGAATAACACTTGAAATTTAGATTTAAATCTCAGTTGTTAGAAACTAATTTACCTACTTTCACTACTGAGTTTATATATCCTTCTTGGATAATGTCATATTTCAAATTCAATAGAACCTATGCAAAAAATATATATATATAATCCAAAATTGAGTTTTAAATTTTCAATATTATCGGATTGAAATTGAGTTTTAAATTTTCAATGTTATCCGATTTGTTGGGTATAATTGTAACCATGTTTATCAACGAAAAATAGTATAGGTTTGCGAGAAAATACTTTAACTTTTAGACCAGATTTAAGAAGCCGTGTCCCCACTTGGCACTCCATCTTATCTGTGAACAAATTTCCTTTTACACATTCACATAGAGGTGAGTTGCTTAGACCCTCCTCATCTCGAGCTAAAGGCTAGTCATGAATTTAATGGCTATAAGGCCACAGGGCATGAGGGAGGCCAGATAGCACGCCTCGATCTCATCCCTTGCAATAATCATATTAACCAAGGCTTGTTTGCGATTGACTTTAGAGGCTTAAGAGATTATTGTTCAAGAATTTAAACCATTTTTAGTATTTGGTAAAATTAATTATTTAATAATTAAATAGATTTTTTGTTTTTTTTTTTGAGTTAAAAGAAACTTCCATTAAAGAAAATAACTTGCCAAGGCTACATTAGTGCGATCATCAGCTTTCACACTGCTGAGAAGCCAAACTGGAAAATCACAAAGYCAAAGAAGGGGACTATTTATAGAAATGRCATTTCTAGCCAGAATATGAGCGGCCCTATTTCCCTCACGACGAACATGCTGAATTCGAAAATCGTCAAAATTCAAACACAAGTGTCTGATGTCAACAATCAATGAAGCCACTTCATTTAACCACCCCCATTCTTCTCTATAAGTTTAACCGCTTCGAGGGAGTCAGATTCGACCACCACCTTACTGAAATCCAACCCATCCGGATCGCCAAACGAATTCCTTCTCTGATAGCAAGGGTTTCCACCAAAAGGGGGCTTCCCAGACGCTGGGAAGAAATCATCGCCGCTTGTACCCGATTTTCATCATCACGGATTAAAATCCCTATTCCGGACTTTCCAACAGAGGTGGTACACGCAACATCAGTATTGATTTTTAAAAACCCCTTTGGAGGGGGACACCAGACGATGGGATTGCAGGAGGGGGCCGCTTGCGTCTCCAAGGTCAATTTATTTTTATTCAGAAATTCATTAGCATACTCCAAAATCCATCTACATTTCAAATGAACATCAGGTGTAYCATTTTTWAAAATGTGTGAATTTCGATCGTTCCACATGCTCCAGCTAGTAATACCAGCGAGGGTGACTTCTTTTTGCGAAAGATCCGACRTCACCTTAGTCCACCGGTCGACAAAACAGCCGTTAAAATTATTAGAAGAATCTAATGCTGGCAGAAGCAAAGACCAGATTTTGGACGCCCGTTTACAACCCACCAGAGCGTGATCCACTGTCTCCTCCTTTTTCAGGCAAATTGGACACATAGGTGACACCTCCATACCTCTTCTCCTCAAGTTTGTCATTACTRGGATWYAATTTCTGATTGCTTTCCACAAAAAAATTTTAATTTTTGGGGGAAGGTCCATTTTCCAGAAATCCTTCCACCACCTCTCATTTTTGTCAGAGCTAGAGGATTGGGAAGGTAGATTCAATCTCATAGCTAACTTGTACCCACTTCTTACCGTATAGGAGCCATTCTTCGTAAAATGCCACATCCATCTATCCAAACCTCCCACAGCACTAATAGGAATATTAGATATGGTAGCCACATCTTCTTCTCCAACTACGGATCTGAGCTTTTGGACATCCCAATTTCGAGTAGAAGTAATAAAATCAGCTACCCAATGAATTCTGGACGGATCAAGACAGGGACTTAAAGGCCTGAAAGTGTTCTCTCACGGAATCCACGGATCTTTGAAAAAATTAATTGAAGATCCATTTCCAACCACCTTTCTAATTCCCGTAACCAACAAATCACGACACCAAACCATCCCTTGCCAAAAGTAAGATGAGTGGTAGTCCGCCTTTGCTGTCAGAATAGAATCCTCACATGCATACACTCCTCTAATAACCCTGGAAACAAGGAGATTAGGCAGTTGCAAAAACCTCCACAGTTGTTTGGCCAACAAGGCCTTGTTAAACATCACGAGATCTCGAAAATTGAGACCTCCTAGCTCCTTTGGCCAACACATGCGGTCCCAACTTATCCAGTGGATTTTCTGTCTAGCATCATTTGTACCCCACCAAAACTTAGCCAAGTCCCTTGAGATATCTGAACAAAACGTCTTTGGGAGGTGGAAACAACCCATGACATAAGTTGGAATAGCTTGAGCGACATATCTCTTTTCCTCCTGAGAAAAACTTTCCTTTCCACCCTTGGACAGCCCTCCACACTCTCTCCTTAATAAAATTAAAATCTCCACGTTTATTTCGAGAGATACTTGAAGGGAGTCCAAGATAATCTCCCAAATTTGGGACCAACCTCATTCCCACCACCGATTGAAGGTAATTACGAAAATCATCATGCACGTTGGGAGAGAACCAAATCATGGACTTATCAAAGTTAATTTTTTGTCCAGAAGCTTTCTCATAGTCCAGCAAAAGTAGTTTAATCGCAAACAATTCTGATATTTTAGCCTTACAAAACACTAGGCTATCATCTGCAAAGAGAAGATTAGAGATACTTGGACAATTTGAGTTAATCGACATACCTGAAATCCAGTTGTTCTCATGGGCATGTTTAAGGGATGCTGAGAGGCCTTCTGCACAGATTAAGAAAAGATAGGGGGACAAAGGATCCCCTTGGCGTAAGCCCCTTTGAGGGATGATATGCCCTTTTGCTTCCCCATTARTCATAATGATAAAGGATGGAGTACTAATGCAGTCCATAATGATCTCGATCCAGTCCTCATTGAAACCCATCTTCAGCATCATTTGCTTCAAAAAGACTCATTCCACCCGATCATAAGCCTTGCTCATATCAAGCTTTATTGCCGCTAGACCTTCCCTTCCTTTCCTCCTCTTCTTCATGGCATGGATACATTCATGGCCAATAATAATGTTGTCATTAGTAACCCTACCCGGGATGAAGGCTGCCTGGCAATCTGATATAATTTTGTCCAGAACTAGCTTTAAACGATTTGTTAACACCTTCGTTACAATTTTGTATGAGACATTACAAAGGCTTATGAGACGAAAATCTGAAACCACTCTCGGCTCCCGCACCTTTGGAATCAAGGCAATGTACGTTGTAAGAGCATATTTTGAAATTAGCTTCCCTAGGAATCTAACTTATTTACTAACAAACTTTATCTTATATAATATTCTACTTCTCATCAATTTTTATTTGATATTAACAATGATTGGTTTGTTGCTTCAATCCGCTTCTTTAATATTCTTATTCTACTTCTTTTATATTTAAATATTTTTTAACATTATGTTGACGCAATTTCCTTTTTACAAGGATGGTTTTTTTTTAAAATTAAAAAGGTTTGTTTGAAACAGTCAAAATAATAAAAATATACAAAACATGATGTGTAATTTACACTATATAAAATTTTGAATAGTTACCTTATAAACAATTTTAGAAACTAAATATCAACACAATGTTACATCCGAATTAATTTAATTGTCACCGCTTATGTGATTTCTTTTATTTTCACGTTGAACCATTCGTTTTGATTTCAATTTAAAGTCAAATTTATTTTATTAAGATGTTTTATAAAACAAGTTGAACTAACCTACTTGCACTCAACATCTCACAATCATATTATTTTTTCGATTTCTATTTTATTTGCATTTCTCTCTCTTAATAATACATTAGTTGGCAAATGATTAATTAAATAACATACTAAAATTATATCAATGTTGTTAGAATGTCTTAATGCACCCACCTTATTTCTACATCAATAAATTTATTTAAGAAAAAAAAGAAAAGAAAAAAACCTTCCCAAGAGTACTTTTTTTCCATATAAATTTGTATAATTTGGCCAATCAAATCAACGAGAATCAGAGATATCGGCAAGCAAAGGCCACGGCCATAATATTTCAGCATGAACGTCCCCAAAAAATTGCACCACAAAATCTACGGTGTCCACAGTACCAATCAACCAGGATATAACTCAGCCGAGTCAGCTCATCGGGTCGAAAAAAAGAAAAAATCAAATATTTAAGGAATTTAAAATATAAATGATTCAACTTTATAAGACTGAGTATAGGGTGGTCCGAGTCCCACAAAACCTCACTGAAAATATCTAATGTACTAACTTTTGCTGTGGTGGTGGTGTAGTTGGATCTCTATCAAGGAATCTACAAAGCTTGCATTTCCAGATTGGTCCGGCCATTGCTGGCACTGGAAGATGGTGCTGTGCCTTCACCGACGTTCTCCGACTTCATTTCTTGAACGGGTGGCGGGTTCACGATGGTCATTGGCACAGCAAAGTTATCGGCCAGACGTCCCTTCATCTCCCTGTGTTCTTGACATAGAGCGCACCAGTGCAGGCAGCAATGCGTCATGCAAGGATCGCACGGGGAGTTCTGTAATCAGCATATCGACATTAGCAAACCACGCCGGTACTATCCAACTCTAAAGCAGAATATAGCATTCACTGGCCCGATTCAGATCAACTTTTTCTTCCAAAGTAGGGGAAATGGTTGCTTTCAATCTTCAAGTATGATACGGGATCACATTATTAAATTATGTCACAAATTTTCAAAGTGGAACTCGAGATATCGTCCTCTTCTCTACCCCTTAGCCCCTTACGAGGCTCCGGGTAGATCGAGATCTTTGAGCAAGATGACAACATATCAATTTAAGTATTCAATATGCTTGACAATGAAAAAGCCAAAAAAGTAAGTTAGCATCACAAGTTAATTTCAGAATCTGAAACCATTTGTTCAGTTATAGATCTAGATTGAAAAGCACATGAACAGAATGTTACCTTAAGATGATACTTCTTTTGCAAAGATTGGCGAACGAGTCCAGTGTATATGCCACACATCCACCAGGTAAACATTAATCCCTCACAAATGAGAAAAGTCGTGTTTGGATCAATGCAATGGAGTGCTGCAGTCGCTGTCGCCAAAGCAATGCCACCTTCAACGAAAATAGCATGACACACGCACGGCCTTGTCCAGTCCATATCATCGTCTCTCAAGCTTTCAACATTGCGCCCGAACAAAACACATGGACAGAACAGTCCAGTCCAGCCTGTACAAACGAAATAGGGGTACATACAAAGACGGAAAATGAGTTTACTACAATAACTACTTGCTCTTTGCAGAACCTGACATGAGCGGTGCCAATTGTACAATTGTAGAAGTTTCTACTTTCAAACATATATGTTCGAAAAGAAATAGTGGGGATTAAATGATCAGGTCAACCCACCCTAAGAACTCCGTTTCATTTGAAAATTTAGGGGACTCCAACCATGAATACGAAGAAAATGATATCCAAAACTCAGTTTACAAATAACAGATGGTTGATAAATATGTTTATTCATTGAACAATAACTGCTGCAAAGAGTATAAAAACAAAAGTAACATCAAATGATACTTAGATATAGATATGTCTCGGAAAACAAGTATGATAAAAAGATGATCAGGTACAGATAGTTCATAAATATGATTACGTTAGATTCTTGAAGTTTCCGCTACCTTTTATGTATGCTAGATGAGGAAAGAAAGCGGCTGTGGAAGATACGGGAGCTAGAAAGAATTCATAGTTTAGGTAAGGGTAGGAAAGGAGGCAATGGTAATTTCCCTCCCATGTGTGGGTTTTATTGTAGTTAGTTACAACTTGTAAGAATGAGTGAGAGATTATGAGTGTGGTTAGTTTGAGATGACTTTTGAGAGGGTAAAGAAATGCTTTAAATCCACTAAAAATAACACTTAAAAATTTCCAAAAACAATTAAAAGTGTTTGTGGATAAGCACTCGATCAGTGTTTCTTCCAAATATGCTTGTAGAAGAAGTGCTTTTACTTAAAAACACTTTGGTAAAAAATCAACCCAAATTCACCCTAATTCTATTAGAGAAAATAAGGTCGGAAGAGACTTTGGGGAGAAGGGGAAGGGATCCAGACTATAGGTAGGAGAATCTAGAGGGGAGGATGTATACCTCCAGCTTCTGTTCTAGAAATAATCTGGCATAGATTTTTGCTCACCAAACCGAACAAATCATTATTGTATCGCAAAGCAGTTTACTGAGATCTGACCCGAGAACCACAGAAGAATACTATCTAAGGAAACTTACAACTTTGGGTATCTTCAGCACAGCCAAAAATCCCAGTCGTCCAAGGTTCATCGGCTGGAGGTTCAAAGCTTTCAGGTAGAGGCTGTCCACACTCGTTGCATTTACGAACATTTAGCTGAAAGTCATAGAGGATTGCAATTATAAATCGTACGATTTTTTTTTCCCTAAGATATTCATATCTACGAGAAGTTACTACCAAAATTAAATAAATGTTCATACAACGTAATATAAAGAGCACAATCCCAGAAACCCATAGAGTAGTATCTGAACTAGAAGAATCATAGTGTGTATAAAAAGAAGCCAACAGCTGCAAATCAAGGAAAACCAAAGATGTCCCATTGTAATGGAAGACTCTACTACAGGCTCAAAAGAAGCTCGATATCAGAAAAATGGAGGCCCAATAAGCTGCTCAAAGCTTCTATTTAGTATATCCCTCGAGATACCACTTAAGGTGTGTTTGAGAGTGATTTTGGCATGACCAAATCACTTTTTGCCATTGTCAAAATCCCTTCCATTTCCATTGATCGTGTTTGGCAAATTAAAAAATTGATTTTAGAAAAGTTAAAAATCACTTTAAATTGATTTTTAAAGTATCACTTGGATGATAATTTTGAAAAATCAATTATACTTAAATCTCTTTTTTTCAAAATCACTCATCTTATCATCACTCCCAACACATCCACAACAATCGTTTTACTCCCACAACATTTGATGTAAAAGAACTCGTAAGATACTTCAAATCTTAGATAGGAGGCACCATAATCTGAACCTATCACCTCAAAAACATCTAAATCTGTAGTTGCTCATTTGATCCTTGCCACATTGGACTGATAGAAAATACAGTCACTACTAAAACACCAATTCTAAATTTTCTATCATCACATTTATTCTGGGAACTTTTAAATCTAAATCCAGAACTTCTAGAGCAACGTTCACCTGGTACCACTTAATCTTATCTCACAATTAGATCAACAACAGAACTACTAAATCGTGAAGTGATATGCAAATATACTTTGCACATTATAACCTGAAAGAAAGATACCAATGATATCAAAATACAAGCTCGAATCCACAGAGAGAAATGTGAGAAAGAAGAAGCAGCAAAAATATCTCCCAGAAATGTGAGATTCCTCCCCCCTCGATCGCCCAGAGAAAAGTAGAAAACCTGAGGAACTTCGATGGGCTGGTTAAGCTCACCCGGCTTGATCTCTTCCAAAGGTGCTTGATCTTTCGTCAATTTCACATATCGAGAAGGCGCCGCCCCATCCCCCATCTGAGATCGACCACCGACGAAAGAAAATCAATAAATCAAGAACCCCACAATTTATTGTCTAGGAAACTGCAAATGGTAAGAAGAACTTGCATCCAATCCAACCATATTTCATAATTTCAAAGGCATTGGATCGGTCGAATAGGGGAGAAACGATTTATATTCAAACTTAAAAGAACAAAGCCGTGAAAAAAAATTTCCACCTCTTCCGGGACTACAAAAAACGCAAAGATCAAAAGTGAAGAACAACAAAACAGAAAGATGTGAACAATTCTTACTGACCCCGGCAAGAGAATCAACTCGCCCAACAAATCTTCAGCGGAAATGCTTCGCTTAATTGGCGAAGATCTAATTTCCCCCCAAAGTCTAGTGAAGTTGCAGAGTCAACCGACCCCAAACAAAATTTTCCCGGAGAAACTTGAAGAAACGGAGATATAATACGACCACAATAGTCAAATTCGACGCGTATGAAGTGGGTGGGTACTGGGTAGATAAGACCTCCAACCGAACCGCCCGGATTATGTTTCGTGCAAACATTTATGGGAAAAGATTCGATTTTTTTTTTTCTGTTGGAATCAAAATTAATTTGGTTTTAAATTCAATTGATTTGTGTATTTGTTTTAGAATTTCAGTTTTGAGAAATTCCAAAGAAACGGTGCTTGAGTCTTTGACTGTCATATTGAATATCGGCTGATGGATCAAATTGTGTATTTCGCTGTTTGGAATCAAAGAAAATGTACAAAACACCTCGTTGAATTCAAGGTAGCATTTTCCGGATCAAATTACATTTGTTCATGAATTTACATTTGTATACTTGGGTCAATCTTAAATATACTTTTTAAGAATTTTTATTTTTGGTGTTACTTACCGACTTTTGAACAATTGACCCCCATTTTTTTAGGGTTAAGATTTTGCTAAATAGAATCAAGAATATCCACGACTTTAATCACTTTAGACATGTTCATATTGACGTTCTGTTACGTTTAACAACACTAATTAATATTACATGTAAGGATGAAATTAACACATTCTAATTTTATTTTCTTTAAATTATTGGTACGCCTCAAGAAGTTTCTTTCTTGTATAAATTTTTACAATAAGTTTGCAATCTATGTATTTTCTTAGTCTTTCAAACCATATATGAATGATTCCTACATAAACGCAGCTTCGTATCACTGCATACTTTTAGGTTAAATTATATTTTTAGTCCACGTACATGTAAATCTTAACTTCAACTTGATTGTTGTACCACAGGCTTTTGATTTTGAAAACCTACCAAATATGTCTTACTCTTGTTTTGGAGTAACAAAACTTCAAAACAGACCATTCTAGTTATGGTCTAAAACATAATCAACTCCGATTCATTTTTTCATTTTCAACTAAAAGAATCTCTTGAAATCTAACTCATATTCATATTTTTCCATTAATGTGACTTGTCAGATCCTCACATATTCAAAACAAAAAAGTCACATTATATAACCTATCCATCTTATAATCAAACAACATGTTACATTGAATTGTTGCATTCCTACAACCTTTCACCAACGCCATGGGCATAACCTTTGATCAAAAGATAAGTATTATAATGAAACATTTCAAAGTGTATAGATGGAATTGACCTGATTGTTGAAACATAGAGGCTAAAATGGCAATCAAAACATTATCTTTAAGAGGGCCAATTTCTATACCAACCAGCCCAAGCAGAGACCAACCCACTTATCCCAAGAGTAAGTGTATGGTTGCAAAAAGGGTTGGGCTCAATCTCAGCCAATCCAATAATCAAATCCGCAACATTGGCTGCCACACCCATCAATCTCATAACTCTATCACCTCTGATTTTGCTCAAACTCTCTTCTTTTGAATCTTCCTCACAGCTTTTGAGCTTCCTCTCAGCCTCAATCCCATGTTTCAGCACAATAAGATCAGAAACTATGAAGAATATGTAGCCAAAAGACTCACCAAAGGCTGATATAAAGCTCATCCTTTTGGCCAACTTAGCATCAAGAGTCCCAATTCTTGACAGCCAAAGCAAGTGGTCAAAGAAGAAGTAGACCATTTCACCTGCATTAGCAAGAACGGCGAGGAACCGGAAAGCCGGGGTCGCTCCGGGGCTGCGTCGGAGAGCGTTGAAGCCGGTCAGAAAGCGCCCGGTTCGGAAGGCCTTTCGGCTGATGCCGGAAGCAACTTCCCAGTGCTTGGCTCTGGTTGCCTTGTCTGGATGAGAGGTTTCAAGGTGCCAGTGAACTAACTTTGAAACATATTGGAAGGTCTTCACAAGCTTGTCTATGCCATCTCTTTTGGCTAAGAAGATGACCAGTTTGTCCACTGTATCAGTCATGGCTGTTCTGTTTATGGAGAAAGCAAGAAGATGGGTTGCACAGGTTTTGGCTGAGGAGTTTGATAGAGTTTGCAAAGACTCACAGTTTTAAAATTTTGGGAAATCAAATGAGAGCCACAAAATGGAGGTTTTTCTTGATAATTGTATGTGGCATGCTTGTGGTTGGCCATTATTTTTCCTCCTCTGTTCTAATAGGTTTCTCACTTTGTTTTGTTTTGTGGTTTGTCCTCATACTTTTTTGTTCGGTTTTTATTTCAACTTAAAACAAAAAAATTTGATACTTACCACGAATATATATTATCACAATGATGGTTGACATGGGGACTCTTAGATATGAAGTGGCAAAATATTAGTGAAACCTAAATGATTATTTCAAAAAAATGTTAAAAATAAAGTAGACATCTTGAAAGTTAAAAAATGACGTGGTAATATATATATATATATAATTCAAAGGTTAAAATAAGTATTTTAAAAAATTTAGAGAGCCAAAAAGTTCAAGGACCAAAATGTAATGAAAACATTTTATACTTTATTGGTTAAGTTACCAAAATGTGTCTCAATAATTTTGAAATTTTCACCGGGGATGAGAAGACCCCGCCAAACAAAAACCTAATGGAGGACTGCTTTCCAATCTCGAAAAAGAGTCGTAGGATGGTGGTTTAAGCACTGAATGAGTCTCAATAATTTTGAAATTTTCAATTTAGTCTTCTTATTTTGTCAAAACCTCACAAACTATCCAAAATTTTGATCTTAACAATAATATAATAATAATAATAAATAATGTTAAACTACTTATTTGTCCCTATACTTTCAACTTTAATTCATTTTAATTTATGTACTTTCAAAATGTTCATTTTGATCTCTATACTTTCAACTTTGGTTTATTTTAATCAATGTTTTTTCAAAATATTCATTTTGGTCATTTACTTTTAAAAAGTGACCAGTTTGGTTTCAACACGACGCTACAATCAATATATTTCTTAAAATGTAAACATTACTTTATACTAAAGAGTTTCCGTGATGTGTAAAATTTGTGTTAAAATTGAACAAATAAAGACTAAAATGATCCATTTTTAAAAGTACAGAAACCAAAATAAACATTTCAAAGTACAAGGACTAAAATGAATCAAATTTAAAAGTATAAGCACAAAAATTAATATTTTCAAAAAACACGGACTAAAACGAACCAAGGCTAAACGTACAGGACCAAGTATTTTAACCAAAAATAAATAAAAATGAACTACTTCACTGTCATTTAACCTAAAAATCAAAATTTGAAGATAAAAGTATAAGAGCACCGAAGATGTCTCATGAAGATGTATGGGTATTTTGAGAACTTTGAAAACTGGTTCTTGGCTGTGTAAATTACAAGAGAGTTGAGTGGGGAGTAGGAAAAATATCGACATGATTAGGATGAATCCCAACAAATTAATTACCTAATCTAACCAAAACTAATGCAGTGTCCAATGGAAGGCCAATCATATATTACTTATTAATAATAAATGGTAAGATCATCAGGCCAAAGATGTTTTAGTCGAAAAATTGCTAATCTAAGTTCACACGCCGCATCTTACATACAAGGTTTGCTGTTGGAAGATCAAGCTCCTTTCCAGAATCAGATTTCAGAAGGTCTTTCAGCTGGTCTCTTGGAGTGGAAAAGCAAGTGAGGAATGTGGCAAGAGCTGGAGGGATTGGCATTGATAGGGCTGAAAGTACATTTGTCAGATACTCGACATCGACAGACAACTGTTGCGCCCCACGATCCGTTACATATTGTATGCCACGCAGTTGTTCTGTGTAAAGTGCAGCGGTACCTTCAGCAACCTTCAGAAAACAGAATAAAGACGCACATGAGTGGTTCATTACAAACACATTCGTACAAGAATATTTCATGCTCTATGTTTTATTATCTAACAATGAGATTCTGGATAACCATCATCGGGTATCCATCATAGTGCTTTTCATGGCCAGATACTTTAGAGAGAGAAAATAGTTAAAATTTTACTAGATTTATGACTTTGGTACCTTGCACATCCATTCTGCAGCGAAAAACTGAGCCTCGTCATTGTTGGCATTGCTATTAGATATACCTTCAGCAAGCGGCTCCAGTTGTTGGGGTAAAGTGAGAAGGTATTCACCAACACTGGTAACGTAAGACTGGGGGTAAGAACTGAAGGTTGGAAGAGGAAAAGCACTAGGTTCCTCAACCGAACCCCATATTGGCAAACGAGACACATCGCTAAGGCGTTGTCGTACTTTGGATATGAGAACATCATATACGAGTTCATTAACCTTGTCTGCAAATGCTGCAACTCTCTGAGATGCGAGTGGAAGAGCATGGAAACGTGGATCCTTCGACTGCATGACAACAATATGAAGAAACTGCTCAGATGCTAAAACAGAAAGAGAAGGATTATCAACTGAGCCAAAGAAAGTACCACGGCAATTGAGACAACTGACCAAAGAAATAGAATATTATCGTCATTAATATTTCTCAAGTCTCAATTGGTTTTTGACCAGTAAAATTTTTTAAGTAACAACTTTATCTAACCTGGAAAAGCAGGGGAAAAGGCATCTCACAGGGAAAAAATTAAAAACAAAAGAAAAGAGTAAACGAGGGTAGAAGGAAAGGCAAAAGTTAATTAACCTGATCTAAGAGGTTAAAGAGTTTTTTTGCCTTCTCAGGAACATCAACAAGCCGTACGACTGCCATATCCAAGGCAGCCCTTCCACCCATAGTCACTTCCCTGTTGCTGTAATCACTGATTATATGAGACTGGTTTTGGTCCAAACTTGAACCAAAGACTGAAACAGAAAAGGTTGTGCTCAGTCTTGCAAGAGTAGCTCTCAAAGAAGCTTCAAATACAGATGACCTGCTAGTCAAACAATCAGCCACTGTAAGTATCTGTAGAGTCCCCTGGACGATGGACCACTCCTCCTCGTTTGACATTAAGTCAACTTTGCGGGTTCCATCCTTCTTGTCCAAGCCTGTTTCCTTCTTTAACCCAACACCATCACTACTCTGATCTATACCACAGACAACTCTCAGGGATTTTAGGGTTTCCTGGAGTGAAGAAATATACTGTAACATTACATCATCAAGAGCAAGAAGTATCTCATCAGCCTCCGAACCACCCGTAAAGCTAATGCACCTCTCAACAGCTGCTTCAAGAAATAAAATAACTTGTGGGATAGATTCCTCCATTCTGCGAACTGTTTCACTAAGTTCAATCCCCTGGGCTCCCACACCTCGAGTGACAGCTCCTCTAAGATCTACCTCTGCAATTTCAGAGGAAAGGATAGTACGCTCCATTTGTCCATACCTAGGACGAGGAGAATAAAACATTGTTGGATGGATTAAACAACATAATGATCTCATTGAAATACAGAACAAGGTAGAAAAGATATGCGCATGAGTTTCTACTGCAGCAAGATTTTAACCGTTTATGATTTATTACCTTTGTTTAAAAGCTTCAAAAGGAAAATATACAGCCTTCAGTGTGTTGATTGAAATGTTCAGGTCTGATTCTGAGAACAAATGTTGAATATTCCTAGCAAAGGTTCCCGTCATATTATGTAAATCAATAAGTGCTTCTAGATGCCTAGTTTGAATCTTGACACCCTTTGGCATATCTCCAGATAAAATATCTAAAATACCTGAAACAACGAAAGGACCTGCTTAGGGGGGAATGTAAAACTAAAACATACAGTGCATAGATCCCCTCCCGCCTTCCCCTCAGCCCAACAAAAAAAGAAAGTAGAAAAAACTAGAAATACAAGACAAAGGAAAGTCCACGGAATATGAAAAGGAAAAGTATCATTGGACGTCGTCGATTGAATTCACAACCAGCAAAAATCACAAGGATATCATGCTGCACCTAAACATAATTACATAAAATACCAATCTATCAAGATGCGGACTTTCATAGACTTGCCTTAAAAATAAGTAATACATAACAAAGACGGTGATTCCAACAAAATTAAGGAATTGAAGGAGTAGAAAAGGCCTGAAAGAGGATTATCCAAAGTTCAACACTTCCAAGGATTAGATCACATGATAATTCAATCATATCTATGCTGATAAAACCTCACACTACTACATCCAAAGGTTGCTTTTACAATAAGAAATACAGCTTATAAAGTTCAACCATGTTATGTAATAATGGAATTTAAGAGAGAAAACAAGAAACTATTTCATTGATATATGAAATATGATAACAAAAGGGGCCCAAATTGGGCTACAAAAAAGCTCTCCAATTAGATAAGAGAGAGACAAAACTATAGTGATGAAATATAGGGGAGCATTTACACCAAGATATCACCAAGAAAACTATGGATTCAAATAAGAGATGCAGGGAACACTCCTTATCTTGGAAGATTCTTTGATTTCTTTCCAACCAAATCGTCCAAAGAAACGCCCAAACAAAATGAAGCCAAAGGCAAATTTTCTTCTTTTTGAAGGGGTGACCGGTTAGGGTATAGTCCAGAAGCATCGATAAATCGGTAGGTAAAGCCGTCAACCATCCAAAAAGAGAAAGGAGCTTTTGCCAAAAACTTGAGGCTAAATCACAAGAGACAAACACATGACAACTAGATTCGCCATGTTTTTTGCATAAAGTGCACCAGTGAGGAGAAATATTCATGAAGGGCATACGTCTTTGAAGGGCACAGCAGTTGTTCCACCATGTTACGAAGTTATGGATGGTCTGTCCAAAGAAGTTAGGCAAGAGGCATGCTTCCCATACAATGATATTTTGTGAGAGAAAGAGATCCATGCCTTAATATTGTCCATGTTTCTTCACGCAATATTATTGGCATACAAAAGAATAATCAAGACTGGAAATATTTCTTTTTAAAGGAGTATAAACAAATTAAATTGAACTTCTACGCATCATAAACAATGTGCTGAAGTACTTGAAACTTGAAAGTATAAAAGTGATTTGAGATGTTGACTTTAACCTTTCCCCAATGCTTTTGTTCCGGGAACAACATCTGCAGTTGCAAGGTTGATACGGGAAATAAAACTCGACCCCACAACTGCCATTATCTCAATTAAAAGCTTTGGGACAAGAGCCTTGTATTCATCTGGAAATGCAACCATACACCTGCAAATGAAACACGTCAAAGGGTGGCCCCATTTGCAACCAGAAACTGAAAAGAGAACTAGCAACTCTTAACTTTTAAGATATTTACG